GCCTCGTTAATCCATTCTTATACCCCCCTCCCCCTCCACTACCCGAGGTCCGGCACTTTCGATTTTTACGCGATATCTCGCGTTTCCACGCCGATAAATCACAAACTTCACCCGCGCGCCCCCGTATATATATATATATATATATGTGTGTAGACACCCGCGTGTAACACTACCCGTGGAGGAGTTTAAGGTTTATTTTGAAAATGAGCATAAAGGGGAGGGGAGAGAAGATAGGTGGCCCTTCTCTCGCGCAGCGCGATGAATGGGAATGAGCGTTTGGCATCTGCGAGAGGAGAGTCATCGCCGCGAGAGCCGTAATTTACGAAGCCATCGCCCCAAGGAGAGAGAGAGAACGCACGAGCACTGCAGTGCCATTGTTTTCGGTATACACACCGGTGCTGACCGTGTCGCTTCTTCCTCTGTTTTTTTTTTATGGTGCTCGTTTTTTTTTTTTTTTTTTTTCTTTTCTCGGGGAGTTTAGAATATTGTATTTGCGAGGGAAAGTGGACGACGTATATATTACGCGGGGGCGCCCAATGAATAACATTATACCCCGCGTTTTACACTTTATTGCGTTTTTCTGGTTCTCCTTTTTTTTTGCTTTTTTCCCCCTCCCGCACTTTTAGCATACATAGTCCGAGGTATAAAAGTCAGGGGCGATTCGGTGCGACGCATCGTATTTTTCTTTTTTTTGTTTTATGGCCGGAGAAAGTCGCCCAGAACAATAACGTAAGTGTAGTGCGTTGCATGGAGATTCGAATATATTTTTCGAGAAAGAGTGAGAAGGTATATACGGAGAGCCAGTGCGGAAAGTATCGCTCGACACTACCGAACGATTGCTAAATCAGCATTTTATGAATCGTAAATAAGCATCGGGATAAATATCACAATGTGCACGCGTGCATATTTGTATGGTCTTTTACAGCGACAACGGTGATAATAATAATGATAATTATAATGAAAACTATAATAACAAGACTAGCGGCAGCTTTGCTCGCGTGTATGAATGGACGGAATTTCCAATGCCTATGAATGATTTATGGCGGCTTGCCGTGAATTATCGACAAATTGCATTAGCTAAACGGGGTTTGCGCAACACCGCGGATTTTCAGCGTACGCAGACGTACGTGCATCCTACACCTAGCTTGTTTAAAAAAAAAAAAAAGAAAAAAAAAAAAAAAAAAATTGTTAACCGAAGACAATTGTAGCTCCAGCTGATTTTATCTGGAAATTACAAATACTCGTCGAGGGGTATACGTGATTCACTGGATGTATGGTTGAATTGTGCGAAAAGGTATACACATATAGAGGGGATTAAACCGCGCATCGGCTTCGCGACGGCACACATATAGAGACGTAAAGTACTCGTGTAGATGATGTTGACGATGCAGTTTTCTTGCTTGATTTTTCGCTCGCGGTCACTTTCGTCGCCGAGTTTACACTGACGCAAAGTCGCTGAAATACGGCCTGATGCTGGCTTTTTTTTTCACAACGCAAATCGGTAGGCATACATATACACGGGAGGCGATGAAACGAGCGCTCGTCGCGCGCGATTACAGGCATTTTTTAATACATACACGCGTAAGTGCACGCTCGATCCGTTCGTTTTGTCTTGCCGGGATTAAGCACCTTTAGAGGCCTTTCTTTGTGATTTACAATTTACCGATCCCCTGATTTTTTATCGATCGGTATGGCCATGGAGATGACAAAAAAAAAGTTTTTCTCGATACATTTTTTATTTGTCTTATTTATTGAGTCATTCGACACGATGGAGAGCTATACTCGAATCCCAAAGTACCACTGTATATCCTAGTTCGTGTCCCTACCCACATTATATATACTCATGCAATTAATTCTTGTCTCACCATGCAGTCATCAATGTTGTAGCAGTTTTTTGTTAAACTCTCCACACACGTGTACGTAAACGTACTGTAAAAAAGGGCACGAACCGGGAGGTAACTTTCGAAAAAAACCCCCTCTTGTATACCTATATACGCGTGGGTATAATGTCACGGGAGTAAGTAAAGCGAGAGAGTAAAAAATCCAGTCCACGAGAGTCGACTCCCCGCCGTGATAAAACACACGGCCGGTCGACGAGGAGGAAGAAAGAGATCGACTGCTCGTCCGGAGGATTATCCGCCGAAAGTAAAATCCCTGCCTCGATCCTCGATGCTCCTCCTCGCGAGAGAGAGGAAGGGTGTACCATATATATATATACGGAGGTCACCGGAGTCGGATGACAGACGAGAGCGCCGCGAAATCAAATTCGAAGTCAAAGTAAACGTGCGCCCCCGTATGACTCCCCGAGCACGTAGACGCCGATAGGGAACTTTTTTTTTTCACAGACGCGGCTGAAACTTTCCCTCGTTTTTTGCTTCCTCTTCTCCTCTAAGGTGCTCCGTTTGTCAAACGGCGCGGCCCAAATATTTCTTTCCGGGAGACCTCCGTGGCGAGATGATGCTCGAAATGGCACGGCTATATACTATCGGATTTGGGGATCTCGATGAAGAGCAACTTTTTTATTCATTGAACGCACTCGCGTAAAATAACAAAGTTGCCTACAATCGAATGGTTCAAATCAGCGGTTTTATCGTAAAAAAAAATAAATTCAAGCGAAAGCAGTCTTACGTGTACACAGGCTCGTGAAAGGCAAAAACCGGCTCCGAAAGCGTTGCTCGGAGAACCACCAGCGCCATCTCTCGCGAGCGATATTACCAGTGCAGGATCGGAGCAACGATGAACATTTCATGTATACGGGTATACCGTCACTCTGTGCAGTCTGTGCATATTGTAATCAACGGAAACTTATTAATGCATTATCCCGTTTCGAGTTACTCGTAGTATTTTTTTTCCCCCATTGATGAAGTTGATTAATAAATTTCGAGCCAAACAGCGCACGGAATTTAACTTCACCGTATACGACATCGATTTTCGATATTCCAAGTAAAATAATTGAAAGTTTGACAAAGTTGGATTTCCAATGGCTGCTCATCGGTTGCTATCTTTGTGTACGGTGATGTAGATGTAAAATTGGCTGTGCGCGTTTGACGCGAGCCCATAAAATATATATGCTCATCCGACGATCGGACATCCACCTATAGCTGGTGGAGTGCCATTATCCGCCTATAAATAATATCCAACCATCGAATTAACTTCGCTCCAACTGTTTTTTTTTTTTTTATTCATTTGTTTTTTTTTCCTCCCCCGACCGGAGCTTGGGTGCTCATCGAGAGATACTGCACAGGAGGAGGGAGGAAAAAAAAACCAAGAAACTTTGCAGTATCGAGAAGAAAATGTAGCGTATGAAAAGAGCGTACAGGGGGGGATGAGGGTACTCGGTGTACTGCAGATATCCACCCCCCGAAACACACGAGCGTGCACCGCACGGGCTGACACATCGAGGGATATACACGGGGCAATGGATTGGAGAGAGCGAAAGAGAGGCCCGATGGAATCCGCTGCAGGGTCGGCGAAGTAGTGGGTGCCCCATCCCGAAGACCGGCTGTTGTCCTCGTGCATCGACGGTGCCCCTACCCACGACTCTCTCTCTCTGCCCGTCTCTGCCCCCTCTCATCTTTGCGTCTCTTTCTCTCTCCCATTGCCAGTGCATGTGTATACCCCCACGTCTTACATGTACGACTCCGGAGCTCCCCCTCGAAAAAGACTCTCTTTCTCTCCTCGTGGTGTGTGTGTGCGCGCACGTCGTCCCATCCGTACACTGACACTGGACGCGGAGCCGCTGCCTATGCTATTCAGTCTGCCGCCGACAGCGCAAGCGTGCGGTCCCCCTTAAACATTACATCCTCGGCGTGTACAGCTTTACTTTACTCCGTCTCCTTCTCCCCCACATTATATACTTACTCTCTGGCTGCGAGTGGTATATACATAAGTACATATACACACAAGTTCGAGCGCCGATGCACTTGGAAAATTTTGCAACAACAAAAAAAAAAAAAAAAAAAACGCGGGAGAGCTTTCGTGCTTGCAAGTGATACAAGCTCGTTTCATCAAAGAATACAAGGGAGGCCGAAGGGAGTTTGTTGTCATCGCCGAAAAGTTGCGCCCACGCAGTTTGTGATATAATACGCGGTGGCCGAGGCTGTGATAAATAACAGGTGTATCATCGTATAAATATATAAATACCTATTAGGGTTTTTTTGTTTTTTCCGTGCAACATGTTGAATTTTCGCGTGTGTCGCGGTGTTTGGAAGGCACGGCGGAGCTTTGCTCGAGAATTGCGTGCGACCCAGTGATGGTTTTGCAAGAGGAAAAAGTGAAGTAACAAACGAAACGGGAAAAATATTTGCGTGATAGTGTCGAGTAGCAACAATTGCATATACGAGTAAACTTGCGTACATATGAGCACAAGGCCGGGAGGTAACGAAACGGCGCAGCATCGGCAGGCGACGGCTGGTACCCGCGGTGTGTTCGCGGTGGTGCAGCGAAGGGCCGTTAGTGGTAGTTGTTGCGATTATCTAATGACGTGACGATCATCGAAAAGCGTCGCAAATGTGCGATCATCACAGCGAGCAGGACCATCTGCATCTCCACCACCACCAGACGGCCGTGCTCTTGGACCTCGTCCCCGCAGGCGAGGCACTGCTCAAGAGGCCCAGCATGGATTACAACGAGTACACTTATTGCTACGGCGGCGGTCGAGGTAGTGCATGACGACAACTCAAACAAAACAAAACAAAACAAAAAAAAAAAAAAAAAAAAAAAAAAAAAACTAG